ACCACTGCTGTTATTATAAATAGTGTAGACTTCACCGTCCTGTCAGTAAGCTGGAATCTTTCCTCGGAGTCTCAGCTGCCACTCCTTAATTTCCTCGCATTCTGTCATCGATCGAAGGGGGTGACTAGCAAGTTGGGCCGTTCTCGGGTAATCGCGTCCGTTTGCAATCTGGAGTACGGCTGTTCCGTAGTACTTTATTGCACTAAACCTTCCTTATATCGCGCTTCGAGTTTCATGGCTTCTTCACTCCATCACGGCTTTTACATGCAAGCATATGTAAATATATTTCGCAGGTGGTTAACTGATTTCTGTGGACAATGGTCCGTTTTATTTCCGGTACATACTTTCTGAACTAGTTTGCCTAGTTAATTTCCTATAGGCGTCGTTATTGGCGAATGGTTGTGAAGGTAGTAAAAGAAATGATACGTATATTTGTGCATGTTATATATATATAAACTTCATGTTTATATACACTATTTCAATGAATTTTACCTAATGTCTCAACGTTGGAAGACTGTGCGAAAATTTATAAGGGTTTCAAATATACCAAAATAATAATATAAACATTTGGTTTTTTATTTGCGGATTCTTAACTTTCACGGGGATTTGAGAGGCAAGCCGCGCAATCGATGGGTATGGCTGGTCGAACTCGGCAAGCGCAGTGTATACTCTAGTGAATTGCATCGTCGACTTTTTCATGAAAAGAAGCTGCTTCTACCAGGTTTAAAAGATCTCCAATTGCTGAATAATTTTTAATCCGACTTACCGTTACACTTGCGTTTCGGATTTTCCAACTATGTGTTCTATATTTCCATTCCAAAAATATCCTAGATTTCTTTGTATTACTATGGTATTGTCATATTAAAAAAGCGGCATTGACTTACGAGCAAATTCGAAGTCGCTTGAGAAGATATTTCACGATCTTTGAAAATCTCTCCATTACATACTTTCGGAACTAAAATAATGCCTTGCTACAGTCCACGCCTTAAAAACGACATAAGGTGCACAAGAAACCTTATATTTATGTGCACGTTTTCTGGAAAATGTATTTCGAGCTATAGGGAAATCAAAAAGAATGGCAAAAATGCATACTACTCACGCTGTCATTTTGTAATACATATAAGTAATCCTTACCATCCTTTCTACCTGAAAATACATCACAGCATTTCAGTTCACATTTCATGCGTTATGTAAACCAGAAATGGCCATTCCAGTCTCCGTCGTTGTTGGTATTTCCTGTTGCTCTTCGCTGTTCGACCTTCCGTTAGGGATCTGAAACTTGCACAAAAGTTTCCCTTTTAAGGACCTTTTACCGATTACTTTTCTCTGTCAATTACGAAATAAAAGACTAAACCACCGGATCTGATACTACTGCCAATTGTCAGCCAAGTCGCCTTCTATAGGTTGCTCTCAATGTGGATTAACTTTTGTTTAATTAAAAACTTCCTTATCTCGTCGAAACATTGCAGTATCGAAATTTTCTTCTGCTTATAGTTGTGCGATTACAATCCGCTCCTAATAA